CGGGGGGACGGGGGCGCCGGGCGGGCCGCGGGCGGCGGGGTCCGGGCCCTGCGCGGCGGTTCCAGCCCTCTGGGCGCGGTCCTCCTGAGCCCAGCGCCCCCGCACCCCGGCTCTCGATCCGACCACCCTGCGCACGGGGGCGACCTGCAGCCCTGCGCGCGCCCGGAGTCCCGGGGGTGCTGCGCCGGCCTCCGACGACCCGGTCCTGTGGAGCCGAAATGGGCAATTGCGAATAAATGACTTGTGGCTGTTGCTGTCAACTCTTCCACCCGCTGTCTGCTTGTTTTGACCACGAGGAAGGGAGTTCCCCAAAGTTAGGAGAGGGGCTTGTTTGGAGTCTGGTGCTGTTTTGTTTTGTTTTGAAGGAGAACTCGGGCCAGGCTGAGCACTGAGTAGCTGGGTCTGCTAGCTCGCAAGGGACCAGACACCAAGTGCCTTGTAGGGTTTCCAGCTGCGCCAGGGCCACCAGAGGGTGTTTCAGGAACAGAAACTTGAGGTTGTGGTCTTCCTCCCAGCGGGCAGGGAGCTGCTACCCTGGTTAGCAGGGACCTGAGATCAGAGTGTCTGCTTCACAACATCTCCGAAGTGCTGAATAATAGCTCTCAGCGAAATTAGCAGGGTGGAGAGGGAGAGAAGGGCTTCCCCACAGATGCAGAGGACTAAGTTGCTGAGGGGGTGGGTTTGGGCGGGGTGCACCCAGGCTGGTAGGAGGCCCTAGGACATTTTGCAAACAAAAGCAGCTGACTTTGGAGGCTGCTGATACAAAGAGGGAACCGGAACTGCTGGGTGGGGTGCGCCTGCCAGTCACCCAGGGAGGCAGAAGGGATAGTGTCAGGATCCAGAGATGCATTCGCTCTCCCTGCCCTGGTGTCAGACAACACAGCCACCTACCCACACAGGGAGATCTGCCAACTTAGCTAGTAAGTGCACTGCTCGCACTCCTCAGTCTCACTCTACTGTGACATTTTGACGGGGCAGCCCTGAACAAGACTTATTTCTTATGAGCACATACTAGTGCATGCTTTGAGGTGTGTTCTGTATCTTCCAGTCCGTTCCTGAGAACGTAAGGCTTGTCTGGGGCCTCGTTTTAGAAAGCCCTTCACAGGATTCAGGTGGCGTCCCTTTGGCTCCAGCACCTTCACCCTGACTGGACCACCGTATTTCCAGTTTCCTGGTCCGCAGATATCGATATTTGCTCTTTCTTTTTTACTTCCCTTTCTTAAAATGTGGTTTTCATAACACAGAATACAGGTACATGGAATGGTAAAAGCCTCTTTTCCTATAAGCCCTCTCCCCCACCCAGTGCTTTTCTGGACAGAATTTGACAGCTCTCCTCCTTGTCTTACTGCTGAACCTGCAAGAGTCTCTCATACAGTCTCTGCCTTTAAAAGATTTTCTCCTGGCTTTCTCTGCTGGCTGTGTTTTCTGGCTGTTCTTTCTTTACCTCTAGCTTTCTCAGTTTCTTGTCGTGTGTCGCTATGGGGTGTGTGCAGATGAGCACAGGATGTTCGTGTTCCCTGAAAAAAGTCTTGCATGTTCCCTGTAAAAAGTTTGCTAATGGTCTGGTTCTTTCCCTCCATGAGCTACATGACCAGGAGCAGTTTCCTTCCCCAGAGTAGGTTTTCTTGTGGTGAGTGTAGCCCGGTGTCAGGGCAGGAGCCCTGCTTCAGCGCTGGACAGAAGAAGGGATGGTAGGGATGGTAGGGAGGGCTTTCGAGCGCAAGCGCCTGGAAGCCCCTCAGTGGAGCTGTGTGGAGGAACTTGTAGGAACTCCCTCAGGGCCCCAGAAGGAGCTGTTGTCTGTCACACCTGGGGGAGAGCCCAGGCAGTGAGCCACATCGCAACCAGAGCTGGTGGGCCAGGACACACATGTCATCACAAGACAGCCTGGAAAACCTTTGTAAGGCACCCTTCGCCAGTCAGGACAACTGCAGGTCTTGCCTGAGGGGACTGGCCTGTCCCATGTGCAGAAGGCCAGGGCAGGAGTGACATCAGTGGTGCCGTGCGGCTTGGCGTCCACGCTCCAGTCCCATGTGCCTGGCAAGAGAGCCAGTGTGATTCCCCCCCCAGCTCCATGAGGCTTTTGCCGCCCCCATACCCACCGCCCCCAGCTGCTTCATTCAGCTGAGAAGCTGCTCAGCACCAGTCCTGGGGCAGACGCAGGCAGGAACTTCTGGTGGGAGTAATGTGCCCCGCTCGCGGCTGCTAGCTCAGCACACTGGGGTGGCGGTCACTGAAAACTAGGCCTCGAACCAGGCCCCACCAAGTGGACACTTCATTCTGCCTCCTGCTCTTCAGGGGCTGGGACATGGAGATAGTCAGGTTTCCCCGCAGGTGGGGCCGGTTTCCTCTTGTGCTCTCCCTGCATCCTGCTGGTTGAGGACAGGGCCTTGCTCGTGTGACCTGGCCTTCTGTTTGGTTTTTAACAGGTTGATTGGGAGAGAACTCACATACCTTATAATTTGCTCACTTAAAGTGTATTGCTCAGTGGTATGTAGTGTGTTCACAGAGTTATGCAGCCATTGCCACAATTTCAGACCGTTCTCATCACCCCACAAAGAGACACAGTCCTCTTTTCCGTCCTGCGGCCCCAGCTTGTCTGCATGCAGTGCCCATCAGTTCTTTGCTCTGTTTCACGGCTGAGCGTCACCCCATGGTGTGTGTGTGTGCCACCCTGTGCTTTTCTGTCCACCTGCTGTGGGCACCTTGCGTACTTTGCACTTCTTGCTGCTGTAGACACCCATGCACCATCGGATCCCCTCTTCAGACCATCTTGCCAGCACCTTCCTCCGGTGATTGGGTCAAGTCAGAGGCCTCCCTGGCTGTTAGGCTAATGAGATCCTGGGGACCAGTGATGGGCTCGGCCCTGGGAGGACTGGCTGGGGCACTAAGGGGTGAGTGTCTCCTTTGCAAACCTGCATGCGGTTCCTGGTGAAACCTCACCCTGCTCGGGTGAGGTAAGTGACAAGCAAGCGACCTTTTTACTCTGCAGGAAAAGGCCTCTTGGGAACTTTTCATCTCCAGACAGGTCTCAGGTCTTAGGATGACTCTTGCCTTCTCTCCTGTGCAAAATTTAACATGAGCAAGACTAGCCAGGTGTTGGCTCCACCCATGTAGGAAGAGAAGGGGCCCTGGGTTGGACAGCAGGAAGGACTTGAGATGCCCCCGTGGCTGGCCTTGCCTGAAGCTCTCGGTCTTCCTCATTGCAAAACAGACCTTTTCTTGAGAAGGAGACGGAAATCTCTTGATGGCACAGAGAACTCTGGCCTATAATTTAGCTGAGTCATCTATAAATTAAGGAACATTCTCACGTCCCCTCTGTCCAATACAGCTCCTTGTCCCCACCCCCTGGCCCAACCTGCAGAGTGCAGCCAGGGAAAAGTAAAGCTGTGCACACCCCGATTTCCTGCAGCCTATGAAGTAGCCATCTTTCTGTCTGGGCCAGCTGCCCATCCTTAAGCTGGCACTGGCCTTGGGACTGGGGGGCTCTGTCTTGGTGTCCAGTGTCCCAGGCACCTCACTGTGGCTGAACTTCCCCCATGGCCCTCCTCATGAAGTTGGATCGAGGCTGTCCTGTGATTGTGTTCCTTTCCTTCTTTTTGCTCTTCGCTGGGAGTTTTTGTGCCCCGTGTTCCTGCTGACTAGTTTTCCTCCCACCTGAGCAAGGTGTGTGCACTTGCAGAGAGAGGCGACTATGAACACCAGCTGGAGGACGTGTGTGAGCGGGCTGGGTGGGGGGCTGGGGCACACACAGGGACCACTGGGGTGTTGTGTCTGGCCATATATTCTCAGGACACAGTTATCTCCAGGGGATGGTGCCAAGAGCTTAGAGCCCACGGGGAGCCTCAGGTGCTCCAAGTGTGTGACTGGGACCTGAGCCAATGTGCTCAGTGGTCATGAGCCTAAGCACAGCCCCTCGTGTCATGAACTGCACTCAGAGGGAGCAGGAGCCCCCTCCTGCCTTCCCTTCAGGATGCTGTCCTGAGGCTGGTGACTCTCACCCAGCCCAGGGTGTGTTGCCACCTGGCTAGCTGCTCCCTGTTCCATCCAACAAGTCCAGAGTTCCCTGGGCTGGGCAGTTTCCTTTTCCACATTGTTGGTGATTTTACTCCCCGAAGCTTAGCACCTGGGGAGCTTCTGGAGGCTGTCCCCTGCCCTCTGATCCTGCAGAGGTATTCCTGGGCTGGGCAGTTTCCTTTTCCACATTGTTGGTGATTTTACTCCCCAAAGCTTAGCACCTGGGGAGCTTCTGGAGGCTGTCCCCTGCCCTCTGATCCTGCAGAGGTATTGTTACCAGCACATGATGAGCCTGGCAAGACAGAGTCCTGGCCACCTGCCCCAGTGAGAGTTCTTTTTGGGATGATGCCACAGGGCCAGCTCACATGTTGGGCAGCCACAGCCACTGCTCTGCCAGCCTCGAGGATACAGCAGGACCTGCTGCTGGGAGCGGACCTGGCCGCCCTTTAGCCAGATGGAGCCTGTCCAGCTGGTGGGCCTTGGGCACAAGAGTGACCCATCCAGAAATGCGGACAGAAGTGGGGCAGCTGCCCTGTAGATCCCATATGTGCTGGAGCATGAGAAGGGGCTGGGCCACTGGCCATCCCTCAGGCCTATGTCCCCTACAGGTTCTGCGGGGAGTGCCTCCAACCCTGCCTGCAGGTGCCATCCCCCCTGTGCCCGCTCTGCCGCCTGCCCTTCGACCCCAAGAAGGTAGACAAGGCCACCCACGTGGAAAAGCAACTCTCATCCTACAAGGCGCCCTGCCGGGGCTGCAACAAGAAGGTACCTGCCCCATGGCCTCCTGGGGTCGGGGGGAGGTTCTTCGAGTGGGGTGGCTTCAGTCCATGAGTTCTGCTTTCCAGCAGGGGGATGGGTGCCTGAGCTGCCTCCCTTTCCTGTCAATTAACGGTCTCTGCTTCTGCATGAGGAAGCCTGCCCAGTCTCCCTCCTCCTGTCATGTCTCACTTCCCTGTCGTGACATCTGAGACCCAGGGGAAGGCCCCGATGGTAAGGCACTGTCAGAGCGCCTGGCCCAGGCACTGGGTCCCATGTGAGTGTGGTTGATACAGGGACCTAGGGCTGAGCTGAAACCCCTGGATGCAGCTCACCACTCATGGTACCTCACATGCTGGCTGCCACACAAGTGGAACTGTGGGGGCAGAGTGAGGACGGCCCTGGGGCTCTGAGGTGCAAGGCAGGGCCACAGGGCTACAGAGACACCGGCGCTACCACACCCAAATCAGCACCCCCAGGCCCTATGGTTTGTGCTGGAGCTCAGCAGCCCCCCATCCTGCCCTCTGGCACCCACCTGCACCCCACACCCCTCACTGCACAGTGGGGAGACCCCTGGTGTTTGTCCCTGTGCTTCAACTGCTACTGGTGGGACAAGTGGGTAGGAATTTACTTTGAACTTGTGTTTTCAGACCTTGCCCCATCTCGGGTTAGGAGCTCTGCCAGTTTAGCGAGTAGAAGCAGCCCCTCGCTGCTCCATCCTGATGGCTAAAGGTCTAGACGTCCAGGATCTGCCTTGAGTCCTGGCGGGCTGAGGCTGGGCTGCCGTGGCCTCCTCCACCCTTGGGTGCCTCCTGGGCTCTTCCCTGGTCAGACTCTATCCCCGAGGCAAAGATCAGTCTGCTCAGTTTTGCATGTGAAGGGGTCTATAACAGAATGCCTGAAACTGAGCAATTTATAAAGAAACAAAATTTACTTACGGTTTTGGAGGCTGGGAAGTCCAAGGCTGTGGGGCACCTCTGGTGAGGGCCTTCTTCCTGGACTCTTTCTTCACAGGACTCTAGAGAGTCTGTGGAGATATGCTGCTTATCCGATGGCAAGAATGGCATGCACAAGCATGTGTTCACGTGTTTCCTTATAAAGCCCCCGTCTACACCCACGATAACTACTCCATGAAGGGGTTAATCCATTCATGAGGGCAGAGCCCTCATGATCCAGTCACCTCCTAAAGCCTCACCTCTCCACACTGCCACCATGGGGATCCTGCTCCCACGCGTGCTTTGCAGAGACAGGCAGCAGGACCCACCCTTCTCTAACGTGGGTCTTGAGAGTGCGGCTGCACCTCCCGCTTGCCCGCCCAGGTGTGCAGGGCTGTCCGTGTCCACGGGGCTGGTGTCCAGAGGGACCCTTGGCAATCACCCCTGGAGGAACTTCTTGGGCGCCTGCCAGTCTTGGGGCCTGGTACCCTGGACACCAGGGTTGCAGCGTGGCCGGGGATGGTGCCCTGTAGTCCCTGAAGCAGCTGTCCCACCCTGCCCCTTGCTGCTTCCCCAGTTCTGTGGAATATTTATCCCCAGCCTCATGGCACTTGCTAAGTGGAAGGACTTTGTGGTGTCCACCCCCAGGGAGGGTCAGCTGTGCCTCTTCCTTCTGCCGGGTCATTCCGTCTCTGCCCCATTCCCTGTCTCCAGGCCAGATTTCTGACCCTGACCAGATCTTCCCATGTGACTCAGGTTTGTTGTGTTGTGTTTTTTACACCTGGTAAAGAGTTCTGTCAAAAGATGTTTGTCTAAAAGGGTTATTTCTGTTGGTTCCCATTAGGAGGTGTGGTTTTTCCCTAATCAACACCATCCCTTTCCCTCCCTGAAGTGCTCTTTCCCGTGGCAGCTCTCTCTGGACAGAGACTCGCAGGCAGCAACTGGTGCTGGCCCATCTGGAGCGGCTGGTGGCTGGGCGCCTGCTCCATGCACCAGAGCCTGAGGCCTGCAGCCACATTGCTGCTGTGTGCAGCTCAGCAGTGGGTCTCTGGGACCCTGAGCCTGTGGTTCCTTCATTTGGCATCTTTTCTCCATCTGGGTCACTCCAAAGCCATGCACATGGGCTGCTGCCTGGGGCCTTTGAACATTTAGGAGTAGGAGGGACTGGCCCTGCTGCAGGTGACAGGACGTGAGCTTGTCCTTCCCTCATCCTGGGTGACTGAGGCCCTGCCTGCCTCCTCTTAAGGTGACACTGGCCAAGATGAGGGTGCACGCCTCTTCCTGTCTGAAGGTCCAGGAGCAGATGGCCCACTGTCCCAAGTTCATCCCCGTGGTGCCCACGTCCCAGCCCATCCCCAGGTAGGCAGCCCGGCTGCGGCGCAGGGGGCAGAGGCCTTGGTCCGCCTCATTTCCTCCTCATTCTGGGAGTGGGCAGAGTGCCGCCCTGTCTCTAAGGAGGTTGGGGAGCTGCCCAGGGGGCTGGGCCCACTCTGGGGATATCCTGGCCATCCTGCTGAAAGGCATGCCACCCAGGGACAGGGATGCCTCAAGTGTCAGGAGCCAAGATGAGGGCTCAGGCCAGACCCAGGCGCCACCTCCTAGCAGGTGGGATGGGCTGAGCCAGCTCCGCCCAGGACAGGTGGCAACACAGCCCCTCCCTCTGGCTTGCCACAGCCTGCTTGCCCAGCTGTGTTGGGTGAAGGAGCAGATGGGGTTACTTAGGAGGCAAGTGGCACTCCCCCAGCAGTCAAACCAGAGTGTGCAGGGCTGGGAGGGGAAGGTGCCCTGCCAGGTCTCCTTCCTGCCTGCCCAGAGTCCACAGAGGGCTGGGAAGGCTGGGGCCATGGCTGTGTGAGTGAGGCAAGGTGGGCAGTGCCCCTTGGGCCCCAGAGCGGCCACTCACTCTCCCCACTACCCACCGCCGCCAGCAACATCCCCAACAGGTCCACCTTCGCCTGCCCTTACTGCGGCGCCCGCAACCTGGACCAGCCGGAGCTGGTGAAGCACTGCGTGGAGAGCCACCGTGGTGACCCCAACCGTGTGGTGAGCGCTGCGCATGGGCCCACCTTCACCCCACTTTGGGGGGCCATGGGGGGCAGCATGCCCAGCCTGAGAGCCTGCTCCCTGCAAGTCCAGGGGTACTCGAGTCACAAGGGGCCTCCCGGGACCCTCAGGATGGTGACTCAGTGCCTCAAGAGCACCTGGTGAGAGCCGGTGAGTGTCAGCATGTCGGGGTGAATAACACCCATGACACAGGAGGCACGTCTCAGGCAGTTGAGGCCTGAGCTCCATGTGCCTTAGGGTCCCAGGCTGGGGTCCATGGGCAAGGACCCCAGTCCCGCTGTGCTGAGCTGCCCCACAGTGTGGCTTGACCCCAGTGCCTTGTGTTCCAGGTGTGCCCCATCTGCTCGGCGATGCCCTGGGGCGACCCCAGCTACAAGAGCGCCAACTTCCTGCAGCACCTGCTGCACCGGCACAAATTCTCCTATGACACCTTTGTGGTGGGTGTCTTGCCTCCCTATCCTCCTCATCTGTGTCTGCTCGTGTCCTCAACCAGCCCTAGGGTCCTAAGGTTCAGGGAAAGGTGGGAACCCAGAAGCTCACTTTAGCCCCTGGGAAGCCGCCTTCAGGGGGTGCTGATGGTGGCCAAGTCTGAGTAGCCACTGGAGGGAGCCCGGGAGCCCAGGCCCCTTTGCTGTGCTGGTCCCTCGCCCACCCACCCCCAGAGCATCTGTGAGGAGGCGCCTCTGCCCTCGGTGGCCTCAGGGACAGAGAGGCCCTTCAGGGCTTCCTTCCAGGTGGTTTCTGGAGAAGAGCCAGGGGACCGTCATCACCTGTGACACCCTTCGGCTCTGCGTCCCCAACCTGCAGTGGGTGAGGGAGTGTACTCAGCCCCAGGCTGACCCTGGCCCAGACCCTTGCCGCTGGTGTGGCCTCTCCCTGCCCAGCCCTGTCTGTTGCTGTCCCTGCCGCCTCCAGCCCCTGGCCGCCCAGGGCTGTTTGTGGGACTGCTCATGCCAGGGTCCTTGTTGCTGGGGCATGGAGCTCTCTGGCTTACCTCCTCATCTCAGAAACCCCAGTTCTTACAGTCGGAGGTGAGAAGACAGCCGTCCCACACCTACTTGGCACATGGGTGCCGGGCACATGGTCACTGGCCACAGGTGTCTGCAGACTGCTGGGCCACGCATGGCAGAGGCTCTGGCCTGCGCTTGAGGACCTAGCCTAAGACAAGAACTTGGGGAAAGCCCCATTACAGTCACGACATGGACAGTGCTTTAACCTCCCCACAGAGATGGTGCAGGTCCCTGTCCTAGGCCCTGACCTGGGTTGTGCTGGGAAATGGAGACTGGAAGTGATAAGTGGATCTGTTTGTGGTGACAGGGTAGAGGAGGTGTCCCGGTGCTGGGGGCCAGGGCTCATCTGGGCTCTCACGTCCCCGGCCCATCTCCACTTCCTGTCTTCCAGGACTACAGCATCGATGAGGAAGCTGCCTTCCAGGCCGCCCTGGCCCTGTCTCTCTCTGAGAACTGAAGGAGGCCGCCCAGCTGCCAGCCTGAGCCTCGGAGGATGCACCGTGCACCAGCCGTGTACCAGGCAAGCCTCACCGCACCAGGTGGAGTCTCCACTCGTGCACGAGGAGAGCCACTGCTGGCTGTCCCTCTGCCGTCAGGGCAGGGCCACCTGTGGTCCTGGGTCATTTGGTGCTTCAGGCTGATCAGGGGGCTGAGCAGGCGGCCTCACGGGGCAGGTGCTGGCCCATGGGGACTTAGAGCCGTCAGCCATCTCCTCAAAGCCATGATGTCCTCCTCATGTGGAGAAGGGACAGTCGGTGCCCCACGCTGCGCCCCGCAGGCCCTGTTGTCGCAATGAGAGCTGGGGAGAGGAGCCCAGGCCGCCACCCAGCGCCGCCCCCACCCACACCTGGCAGCGCTTCCACCTTGCGCATTTGGTACTGGCTTTTGTGATACTTAGGAATCCTGGCATTTTCTATATTATCCAGTGTGACGATCTTTTCACGTTTTTTAGAGCAAAGACAATGCAGCTACTCTTCATACTGCAGTATCTGTGTTTGACTAGGAACAATAGTATTTTTATGAAACATTTACAGAATTATATTTTTTAAAAAAACAATCAAAAACAAGCAGTGTGGGACCAATGCAAGGAGGGAGGGAGATGGGTGGCGGCCAGAACAGTCAAGCCAAGGTCCCCACCGCTGTCAGCTCTCGTGGTTTGTTGGTTTCTCTTTGATGCTATCCAGGAAGAAATCCCAGCAGCCTGGCCACGTGCTGTGGCTGCTTCCGCAGACGCAGGGTGGCCCTCCTCCCACCAGGGTACTGGCCTCGGCCCACTGTCACCTCCCAGAGCTGACCATGTCCTGCCTCGGGCAGGAGCGCCCCCCAGTGGTAGCAGAGCTGGGGTCTGGGCAGGGGCCTACTTGGCGGTGGGTTGGGCCAGAAAGCACCTGTCAAAACTCTTCTGTTCATGGCATAAATTATTGCTGTCTTTTAAAAAAGTTTAAATAAAATGTTTCAGAGCATCTATGGCAGCCTTGGCGGTGGGTTTTATTCTGCAGATATTCACAGCGGAGGGTTCTGGGGAGTCCCTGGGCCCTTTCTCTACGTCCTAGGTCCTCAGGTGTGTTTCTTCGTCAGGGCCTTACGCCAGGCGTGCAGCCTGCTGGGGCCCTGGTGTGTGCCCTTAGCCAGAGCCTCACACCTCTGGAGAGCACATGGGCCTTTCAGATGCTGGCACCGGACCCTTCTCCTTCTGAAATGTCCACACGTGCAGGGCGTCCTTGCTTTTTGCTGGCCTGGGGCTTGGACTCCTGGGTTGGTTTCTGGACATCCTGGGTGTTAGACTGGCTGCTTGTGGCTCTCCAAGGGGCCACCATCAGAACCTCAGAGTCCCTGTTCTCCAGATCACCAAGGGCCAGTCATCGTGGAGGGCTTCCATTGCGGCCTTGCCCCTCCCTTGCGCTGGAGCAGGTCGCTTCCAGAGGCAGGTCTCTGTTCTGGGTGACTCATTCTAAGGGAAGGTGGGCGTCTGGAGCTTTAGAGCCATAGCATGGGCCAGACGAGCAGAAGCTCCACCAGCTGTAACTTGAGGGGAGACTGGTTACGGGGCCACTCTTGGACTCCGCCAACAGCGGTGCCTGTGTTTGGGGCACAGTGGACAATGCCAGGTCCTGGGGAGCAGCAGAGCCTGCCCTCCCCCATGGCCTCCCTGGAGGCCAATGACACAGCACCTCCCAGGGAGCTGACCCACCCTGATCTGTCCATGTGGGCCCATGTCCCATGCCCAACTAGGCCGAGAGCCCCCAGAGCAGGGCGGGACCTGGCCGCGTGTGTCCACCATCTAGGCAGCCATCCATTGCCACCTTTCAGGCCTGCCCCCACCTGCCTATGGTGAGGCAGGGGGCCATCACAGGGCATGACCGCGATGCCCGCAAGGCCTGGGGCAGCTTTGGGGCCCTGTCTCGGCAGGTCCTGGCCTCCACAGCTCCCCTCCACCTGCCGCCCACCCTTGGGGAAATGACACCTGAGCTTCTCTGCGTCACTTGCGGAGGCTGCAGCACCTGCCGAGTCACTGGGAGGCTCCTCAGCACCGTGGGCCCAGGAGCCCGCCACACCCCAGGAGAAGGGGGAGTGGGCAGGTTGCCAAGCTGCAGGTCAGTGGGGCTGTGCAGCACGGACGTGCCCAGGGCTCCACGCTGCCTCCCATGCTTCCTGGTCCATATCTGGGCTCCAGTCAGATACCCCCCGACTCTGCATTGTCCTCAGCTCTGAGGAGTCCTCTCCCAGGACCTCTACCCTGGGACTATACTGCAGCTGGCAAGGCACCCATGGGGGCTCGGGACTGGGCCAGGTGTCAGGGACACTGGACCTGGGGTAGAGCTAGAGAAGGAAAAACAGTCCCCTGAGTGGGGCCCCCTCATGCTTGTGCTGTTGACGGGAGCAGATTTTTAAGGGACTTTGGCTTCTGACAGGGTCAAGGCAGGAGAGGACCCTTTTGCATGTGTATGTCTCCGTGGCTGGGTCACTGTCCTTAGGGATGATATGGCTGGTGCTGCCCGGGATGAACCATGACCACACACCTGTTCCGTGAAGCAGCCCCCCGAGCTGAAGAGGGAAAACAGGGCATCTGGAGGAGGAGGAGCCGACCTGGGTTTCACAGTGGCCGGCAGCGGAAGCAACTCGGCCAGCTCCCAAACCCCTTCTGCCCTTCTCCAAGCATTTGACCCAGGATAATGTTGTGGACTCCCGCCCCCTCCCCATCTGGGGCCCTAGGCCCCTGCTGCCCCTGATCTGGGGCTGTCTGAGGAAGCCCCCAGCTGCCGCCCTTCAAGGGCCCGGGAATAGATGGATGGCCTATCTTACTCCCCAGGATGCCTGCCAGGTCCCCTGCCCCCTCCCCTAGCTCATATCTGGAGGCCACAGGGGTGGTCACTCCTCCAGGCCCCTCAGCAAGACAACTGGGGAGCCAAGAGCCACAAGACAGCGTCCCATCGAAGTCACCGCCCTGGTCTCGTTCCTTCCTCTGCAGGTCCAAGCAGCTCTTGCATGATTCAGTGTCCAGGAGAATCTCCCCAGGGAGGATGTCAGAGTGACCCCCAGCAGACCCTGCCACGGCAGGCGAGGAAGGCACACCAAGCAGGTGGCCAACAGCCCTCTTTTTACTCTTTAATGAAACCCCAGGTGGAGCCAAATGTCTGAAATCCATAATACTAGTGGGGTTGTCCCAAGGAGAATGGGGAGGCCAGGCCCTTCACCTCTGTGGCCGCATTTGCCTCCTCTGGGTGTTGCTCACATGGCTAGAAATAAGCCACAGTCCCTTAAGCCGAAGAGTCAAGGGAGGGGGCTCCCCAAGCCACACACAAATCACAGCAGCAGGAGCCAAGATGGCACCAGTTCCTAGCAGGTTTCCCACTACATGGGCTGGGTGTGGAGCCTGCATGGCTCAGACACAGACCCACCCCCTCTAGGCAGTGAGTCCCAGGAGCTTGGGTCTCCCTCCCACCCTGAGTCTGCGAGGATCAAGGATCGGACAGAACAGCACAGACCCACCTGGGCCTTGTCCTCCAGGAGCCTGGGCTCCTGTGCCCTGAGGGGTCCAGAGGCAGTCAGGGGCCCAACTCGTGGCAACATGCCTTCAGTTACTCAACAGCGTGGGAAGCAAGCACCTCACTTCCTAGAAAGCACCTCCAGGTCACCGGACTCCTGAGTCAGGGGGCAGCAGGACGAGGCCCGACGAGGCAGGATGAGGCAGGACGCCAAGAGCATGAAGGGCCCCTGGCCCCAGGCCAAGCTCCCAAGAAACTGCCTGTAATGCTCAGCCCAGGTATCAGGAGCCGTGACCGGAGGTCTGGGCACTCCTTAACAGCAGCAGAGCAGACACGGCCGAGTCTCTGCTGGAACTACAGGTGTGCACAGGGGCCTGCCCTAAAATCACTAACAAACAGGTCTTCCAGCTGCACCTCGTCCATCCAGGTGGGCCTGGCACACCTGGCCACAGCAGCCTCATCCTGTGTAATGGCTGAGGCACACTGGGTGATGCTCAGCTTTCGTCTGGAGCACGGCCACCTCATCTTAGGCTCACAAGGCCCTGGGGACATAGGCAGGAGTCCCTGCTCCTGTGTCATGGATGAAGAAAGAAATTCGGAGAAACTGCCTTAAATCCCCTAATGGGATTGAGGGCTGAACAGGGCCAGCACTCGCCGTGTGGGCCCAGCCCTCACTCTTCCCACTCGGCAGCACACCTGAAAACCCCAGGGGCATCTGTGGGGGACCCAGAACGCCTCTGCCCAGAAGTGGGAGGTCAGCCTCTGCTGGGGGAGAAACACCTGGGTAGAGCCCACCCCCAGTCAAGAGACCACTGTGGCACCTCCTTCTGTAACTCTAAGATACCAGGCTTTATCCTCTCTGTCCCCTCCTAAACACACTCTTGGGGAAAGAGGCTTAAAGTCATTCACAACCAGGTGTCAAAGACTGAGAAGGTCCAAAGGCACTTTAACAAAGAGCCTAAGGAAGGCATCGTGAACAGCAGACTGTGAAAGAGCCTAGGACAGACTCTGCAGGGCCAGAGGACAGACTCCCAGTCGCATCCCGCTCCGAGACCTGAGAAGCTGGGCTGGTCATCTCTCTATTGAGCCATTGCCAGGCTCTGGGGGGATGGCACCTGGAAGAGCAGCTTGTCACTGATAGAAAGCGGTCTTCAACCACAAGGGCAGGTATTGGTGGTCTCATAATTCTAACTAGGGCTGTTCTCCTACTGCCTCTGTGGTCTGACCTGCAGCAATTCTGGAGGGCGCTGGAGCCACTGCCTAGGGCCAGAGCTGCTGAGGCCCCCTGTGAGTCTGGCCTACTGCCCTGACCCGGCCCAGGCACAAGAGCATCCTGCTGAATGTGGGCACCAGCGTGAGGCCAGCAGACAAGGTGCTTTGGACCCATCGGACCCGCTGCCGGCTCCTTTGGGATGTGCCTTGAAGGGACTCCAGGTCCTCCTGTACATCTGTGGTCAGCCTGCCCCAATCCTGGCCTCACATTAATAGGAGCCTGGGCACCAGGGTGGCTCATGCCTGGTCCTGGGCCTGTTCTGGCTGGCAGGGCTCAGGGTCCCTTGAGCAAAGCTGTGCGGAGGTTTGAGCCACTGAGACATGCCTCCCTCCTGCCGGCCGCGGAGGAAAGGCTGTGCTTGGTTGGTCTTTGTCCCCCTTGTGGCTGGACGAGATAAGCACAACGTGCTGAGGGACACCGAGAGAGAGACGGAGAGAACATTCCCAGTGGAGACGTTCTGCCCTGTGACAGAGTGCCACACGGCCCTTGGGCTCATCAGGATGGTGCTGTGGGCCCACCCTATGGACTCCTGTCTTGACCTCGGACTCCCCCACTGATGTATGACCTCCCTGTCACACAGGAACAGCACCTGTGACTTTGCACAAGCACATGCACCCATGCACACAGTGCCTCGCTGCTGGGACCCCTGCTCGGTTCTCATCTCTCCTGCCCAGCCCCAAGGACCCCCTCCTCAACATCCAGCATCACTTTCTCTGCCACGTCCACCCTTGCATGTCTCACTGTCTGATACACCATGTGTGACACCGCCTTTCAGGACCCCTATGCCTCTCAGGACCCCTGTGTCACACAGAGTGTGTCCACAGTTTAAGGACCACTATTGCCTCAAACATTCAGGTCTCAAAATGGTGTGAGCAGCTTATGGTAGTAACTGCCCTTCACTGAGGGTGACCAAGCACTATTACTCCACTCATTGTAGAACGTACCCCAAAAGTACAAAAATATACACATAAAAGGGATAAAAATATCAACATAAATGAAACTGTTACAATTTCTTACTGATCCCGTAATCTGACCTACGGCTTGGGGTTTGCACCCTACTAGAAACCCACTCTTTGTCTACCTGATGGAGGCAGACCAGAGGGGCCCGGCTGCCTGGCCACAGCCAGCTGTCCTCCCCGAGGTCCTAGACGCCGAAGGGAGAAAGCCAGGACCTCAGTCGCCTGCAGATCCTGCTCTGGGTCAGAGAGGGGCCATTCTAGGAGGATGGTGGGAAGCACGTTTCCTACTGCAGGGGCAGCAGGGGCAGGTTTAACCCCCAGAGCAAAGCATACAGTATTGAAGACAGAAGGACACAGAGCAGACGGGGAGAGCTGCTCTCCCTCCCTGGCGCCTCACGTGTGGGGACAGTGCAGGCGCTGAGGCTTTCCT